ACCATTAATAATTCGATAATAATGCCAATAATTATTTAATAATTTATTTCAGTATTATTATTAATAATTTATTTCATAATGCATTCATAATTTAATTATTCAATAATTCAATTAAATCTAATTACTGAACAATAAGATTACTATTACAATGGCTAATATACGTATTTTCCATAATTTATAAATCTCAACGATTATTATAAATATACTAATTCAGTGAATATACTAATTTATAAGAATAGTCAGTAACGTATTTTATCGATTAATGGCCCTATTAGACAAAAGGAGATTAATGTCCGCGTTAAATTTTCTTAATCCTGGTATTTCATTAATGCTTCACGCAGTTGAATTTAATAGTAAATGCAAATGTCCGCGGTTTAATGTTCAGCCCTAATGGCACCTTCAGTTCCGAACAATCCGAATAGGAATGTTGTTCACCAGCTATAGATGAAAGAAATGCGGTCTCCGCAATGCCGTAGAAAATCAATCGCGGGGAAAGAAAAGGGTGGAAAGTATGGGCTTTAACAAGCCGAACTTAATCTGCCATCTTTGGTCCACCCATTCCCTTAAATAAAAGATTCCACATGTCAAAATACAGTTAATTTAATTTCCTTCTTTTAGATAGTACAATAGAAACGACGAAGAAACTTAATATTTAAAATATAAATAATAATAGAGTAAATGAATATTTAATAATAGAGTAATAAATAATAATAATAGAGTAATATAATATTTAAACAATAATAGAATAAAAAAAATGATTAAAATTGTCACTTAACAAGAAATTCTACATCTTTCAGAAAAATATAAAATTAGGTCTATGTTCTTCATTTATAATAAGATTTTATTTATTAGTTAAATACATACATCTATTTTCCTATTTCTAAATATCGAAGTTGATACTAATTGAAGTAGTAATTTGTAAATATTCAACAATTAATTTCATTAGATTTCATGTATTTATAGGATGTATACATATCAGTCTGTAAGTCACGATAAAGTAAAAAGTTTAACAAAATCTACGAAAATTTTTATTTCACTTTAGTGTAATAGAACCATCGCAAGGGATATGTATTATTACAATAATTCACCGTTTCATAAATTAAGGTGTGAAAATGTTAATAAACGCACAAACATATGCATCATAGTTACGGGTAATCTTTAATACAATATATCAGGATGAAATTATGATCCATGCCTGATAAATGGGATTCGTAATAAGATCCCCTTCAAACGATTCAGAATTTATTATGGTATTAATATTAGGGGATTCAGGATGGTATTATTTATCGAATAATTTCCATTCAATAAAGCATTCGGAATATTCAGCCAGACCTCATCTGCCTTATTCCATTATCCTTAGTCTGTAGTTTGCAAATAAACGAAGATAATTATTTAATTAGTTTTACAACTTTTAGTACTTTTTATTAAGTTTCAGTACTTTTACTACTATCAGTCATTTTTACTAGTTTTAGTACCTTCTACTACTACTTACTACTACTTATTACTATCTACTACTATCTACTGGTATCTACAACTACTTACTAGTATCTACTACTATTTACTATTACTTACTAATACCTACTATTCCTACCTAATACTACTACTTACTAGCATCTACTCCTATCAACTCCTATCTACTACTACTTACTAATACCTACTATTCCTACCTAATACTACTACTTACTACTATCTAGTCCTATCAACTCCTATCTACTACTACTTACTAATACCTACTATTCCTACCTTCTACTACTACTTACTACTACTTATTACTATCTACTACTATCTACTGGTATCTACGACTACTTACTAGTATCTACTACTATTTACTATTACTTACTAATACCTACTATTTCTACCTAATACTACTACTTACTAGTATCTACTCCTATCAACTCCTATCTACTACTACTTACTAATACCTAATATTCTTACTTAATACTGCTACTTACTACTATCTAGTCCTATCAACTCCTATGTACTACTACTTACTAATACCTACTATTCCTACCTAATACTACTACTTACTAATACCTACTATTCCTACCTAATACTACTACTTACTAATACCTACTATTCCTACCTAATACTACTACTTACTAATACCTACTATTCCTACCTAATACTACTACTTACTAATACCTACTATTCCTACCTAATACTACTACTTACTAATACCTACTATTCCTACCTAATACTACTACTTACTAATACCTACTATTCCTACCTAATACTACTACTTACTAATACCTACTATTCCTACCTAATACTACTACTTACTACTGTCTACACCTATCCACTCCTATCTCCTACTACTTACTAAGTAATACCTACTATTACCTACTACTACTACCCTACTACTACTACCTTACTACTACTACCTTACTACTACTATCTACTAATACTTACTAGTACTTACTAGAATTTGTTATTACTACCTAATACTACTTACTAGTACGTACTTACCACTACCTACTTGTATTCCCTGTTATTTACTACTACTTACTACTTTCTACTTTTTACTTAATATATCCGACATTCCAGTAATAGTTACGACAAACTGTTACAGTTTCTTCACTCAACTACTCTTTCCTAGAGATATCGCCGACTTCATATCAACAGTTGACGCACATTCAACAACGAACGTGAGAAGAGACATTTCCCAGGCCATTCTTCTTTCCACTGAATTTTTCCGTTCCCCCGAGGGTGACCCACCTCCTCCATTTCGCGTGTAATTAAGTGCTTAATGGCAGCCGGATCAGGCGGCCGCGCAAAAACGAAAAAAATACGGCTCCGCTCGGCGAGGCCGTCCCCGAGAAAAGGTATCCGTCAGGATTATTCTTGGTGGATGGAATCAAAGTGATTGATGCGCCTTCGTTGACCCTGTATCCCCCTCGACTCCCCCCACCGAAGTATGGATTTTTCGGGCGTCCATCTTTGGCTCCAGAGATTCCCTTCTATCTGGCCGGTGTTTCAAACGTTGATAACGGCCAGAGACCCCCGTCTGTGTGTTTTACTTCCCTACTGAATCGATCTCTGGACAAATTTGCCGTCGTTTCGTTACCCTTTTCACCGCTAGATCGATGGAAGATAACGAAAATTCTACAAGATTCTCGTAACTCGCGTCACGAAGGAAACTTATGGTGATTCTACGTGGAAAAAGGAATCGAAAAGGTGAAACGAAATTTTTTCGAAATCTGCCTCGTTTTCGAAATAATCTAGTTTGGGTGGTGATCACTTAGTTGGGGATCGAACTCGATTATCTCGAAAACTTGGGCCAGATACGGGAAAAAATTTGTTTTTGATGTTTTGGATTTATTTTTTCATATAGGGTGAATCAACCAGTCAATGACCGAATTTATAAACATTTTAGATTAATACTTGAATGTATTTATTTATAATAACAAAACAGCTGTTGAAATTGCAGTTACATTTATATTTATTGAAATTATTATAAAAATAATTATTCTTATCGTAATTTTTAAAATATTGTTTATAAAGTACAAGGACGTGTAATAGCCCAGTAAATGACTGCTACATGTCTGAAATATTTTTAATAAGAATTGTACTTATTAATGTTTGCCTAATACGCTAAACTAAAAATATATAAACATTTAATAATTAAAAATTTATAACATTCATTTTTTTGCCTAATTGTTTTTCACTGGTGTACTGTTAATTACTGGTTGGTTTACTCTATAATCAACATGTTTCTTGTAGATGTGATTATAGGACACCCTGTATGTAGGGAACGGTGGACTGGGGGTTTCACGAGCTTAGACTGAATTGGATTTAGAGGAATACAGTTACGTGTGGACCCTGGCATGTTGAGACTGACTTGATGGTCAGCGGTGACCGACGCCATGACAGATTCAATTTCTACACACTGACATTATTTTTTTTTTTTATAATTATTTACTGTCGCATCAGTTGCTTGTACTGTTTAGTGTATTAGGTGTACCAATGAGTACACAGATAGCACATGACGCCTTAAAGACACCTAGTTTACGGCTTTTTTGAGGTCTAAACATTTTACGGTCCTTTGCTTTTTTCAAAATGGCGGAGGGTACTGGGGTATGAGGACGAATACTATTTAAACAACCTTACCACTCGATTTCATGAAAACAAAATACTGCTTTTAATCAAATATTGTAGATTACTTATTGATGCACCTAAATTTGACATTATTTTATCTTAGGAATCGTCTATTTTAAAATGGCTTCTTAAGGACTGTTTGAATCTGATCCTTTTGGCGAGCATTTCAAAATTTAGAGCAGTTTGGATATGTTTGATGGTTATAGCAGCAATTATTATAGAGGGCACAAAGTTTAATTAATATTTACTTTTATCATATTTTCAACTTACGAACACTTTCTATAGAAACATAATAGAAATGTAATAAAGACATAATAGAGACGTAACAGGATGTAATAAAGGTGTAATAAGACGTAATTTACATTATTTTATCAATTAATTTCGTTTCGTAGAAAAATATTAAATAGTATCTTAGGAATCTCGTCTATTACAAAATTGCTTCTGATGGTTATTTCAATCTGATCCTTTTGGCGGGAATTTCAAAATCTATAGAGTCTAGGATACATACTTATCATTATTACAACAGCAACAAAGTTTAATTAATTTGAACTTTTATCATATTTTCACCTTACAAACACTTTTAAATAGGGTTAAACAATTTTCCCTCTTGTAAATCGCCCTCCATCGTTATAATACAAAAAACTGTCTGTACCAGCAAAGAAGGTCAGAGGCGGGTTTTAGACCGGTCGAAAAAAAAAATTGCGATTGTTCGGCCAATATTCTCGTGCTTTCGACCGCGAAAAGAACTGCAAACTGTTCTCCTCGTTTTATTGTTCTTAGTTTCCGAACGAAATAAAAAGGGGGCTTTTATGGATTTTTAATTCGAACGACGGAAATGGTAACAAATGGGGCGATTCACTCGTCGTTTTGCGGGTCGTTTTTACGTGCCGTTTTATACGTTTCAGACGGATTACGATCGACACTTCGAGGAGCTGCTCGAACAAACGGAGACACTGTTAACCGAAATCCTGAGGACGACGCTGAGGAAGGAGAATTTGGATCAGGTGGCCTATTACCACGGTCTACTCGAGAACGTTCGACATTTGTCCAAAGGTACTTTGTCTCTTTCGTGTCGTCGGAATAAGAGTTACAGGTGTAACTCCTGAACGACTACAAGACATGAGAGATGGACTAACTCATTATCTAGATAAAAAATTTGGAATAACGAATAAAAGATAAAAAAAACAAAGTATTTCGTCATTTTTAATTGTTTAAACGTGGAAATTTCAATTTTTATAATAAAATAATACTTCTTTATGAATGAATCGACATTTGTCGAACAATTATTTAATCTTATTAACTGTTTAAAGTTCAGGATGACACCCTTAGATACTGCTGCTTTTTACTGTGTATTATTCGAATTAAATACTGCCCAACTCTGTAAGACATTTATGCATTTAACACTGTACACTCCCGTTCATAAATATTAAGACATTCATTTCGAATATACAGTAGGCTAAGGGGCCCAAATTTTACAGACCAAAATGAAAGAGAAAATTAAAAACAGTTTTTTGTACATGTAGAATGATTGTTATTCAAAAAGTCGAAATATACATCTTATTGTATGTTATTTCCTTTGTAATTTCTGAAAAGTTGAGCTGTGTATCTATCAACAGAAGAAAATGGCTGCCATTTAATTATAATTCGTTTTATCTATACACCGTCTGCAATACCAGATATATTTGTGCGCTTTTATCTGAAACAAGTTTTTTTAATTTTATATTGAAGTAGACAAAAAGAATTAGTATTTGTTGAAGTTGATTTCGAAGATATCAATATTTTACAAAATGGCGGCTGTTTGAATTTAAATTTGTAGTTTCCGACATAAAATTCCAACTTCTTTTTTTACGGAAAAAAGAAAAAATGTACGAATCAAAATTTTGCTTCAAGTACTATATTTTAGTCCAAAGAATATGACCACAAAGTTTCATCCAAGTTCAGTAGTCTTTTAAATATTCCTAGTACCGATTTTGAAAACTGCATTTCAAGTAAAACACTTTCAAATGGCAGCCATTTTCTTCTGTTAATGAATATACAGCTCAATTTTTCAGAAATTACTAAAGAAGTAACATGTAATAAGATGTACATATTGAATTTTTAATAAACAATAATTCTGCATATAAAAAAAATTTGTAATTTTCCCTTTTATTTAACAGCTCAAATACGTAACCCCTTAGAGAAATCGAACAGCGAATATAAAAATGATCAAAGGGAGAAGTGGGATTTATATAACTCGAGCCCAATTGTATTGAACGTAAAAGAAATACAATATTTTGCGTTTGTATTCTTCTTTTTCACCACTTTCGTTGTCGCGCCAGGGGTATCTCGTGTAATCGGTTTTTTTTTTCTTTTCTTCTTTTTATTCGAAAACCAGACGACGGGAAAACAATGGAGGCAACGATGTTGACGGAAACGAAACTGTTCCTCCGTAAAACCGAGGAATTATCGAGGCTGGTGTCAGCCATGAAAACATTGCCGTCGGCCGGCGTGCTCGAAGGAATCGAGAAAAAACTGACCGATCTATCGATCGCCGTGGAAAAAGACAAATGTTTGAACGCCGGCGGAAAATTCGAGTGGGTCGACAGTGTGCTTGTTAAGGTAAATATTGCCTTTGTTTCAGTTAAGAACGCCACGGTTCACACGCAAACAACCGTTCCCGCGAATACTTAATAATTCGCGTGAATCTATTATACTATCCGACTGACTTGGGAACTTCGTTAACTCGAAAATTCAGATTTATTTTTTTAAACTTCGCAAATTTGCAGAAAATCTCGATAGAAGCATGGGAGAATTTTTCTTTTTTCACGATATTCGATTCATCGGGGTGAAACCAGCCCTTAAATGTTGAAGTGTGTTTTCTTGTTTTCTTGAAAAATTTGTTATTATAAAAATTTAATTGTTTCTTATGCTTTATAAAACTATGCAATTAAATTGTTCAAAATTTGTTTCTTTATTCATTTATTTATTTAAACAACAAATTTTCAAGAAATTCATTAGACAGTTTTATAAAGCATAAGAAACTATTAAATTTTCATTTTAACAATTTTGTGATATCTCTCATAGTTTCCGAGATATACAGGAAAATAGGAAAGGACCATTAAAATTTAATTGGTGATTTCACTTGGAAGAACGAAAAATTGCCCGATGCTTCTTATTGCGGTGACCTACAAACCTACGGAGTTTTTTAAAAAAATGGTAATTTTTTGATAAAATTATGAGGAATTTTAGACAAATATTAAATAATCCGTTCATTTACGTGAATGATATTACCTAAATACTATTTTAACGTTTCGATCCATTGTTTTGGACAGTGTCTACAAAATGGCACCTGGTTATTGTTGGACCAAGTAAATCTTTGTAGTCCGGCAATATTGGACCGATTGAATGGACTGTTGGAGCCGAACGGTGCTCTAACGATAGGTGAGAAGGGCGTCGATGAACGTGGAAATGTGTTCACTGTGAGGGCCCACAAGAACTTCCGGTTGTTTCTCACAATGAACCCTCGCCACGGAGAAATTTCCAGGTAATTGAGAACCATTAGACAATCTGCTATACTACCTAAATACATTATCATCTCTGGTAGTTCATTGATTTTAACTTTAATTTATGAAAGGCATTTTACCCAAAATTAATATTGATATTAATTTTTAATTTCTTAAATAAATTTCTTAAACGTCGCAATTTTGACGAAAACTAGACATATTGAGTATACCATCGACTATAACAAGGCTGTATAAAAAATGTAAGAATAAAGTTAATATTGAATACAAAGAAAAAAAAATTATCCAGAGAAGAGTATGGCAATATTATAGAACCCTCCTTTTGTACATATTATTTATTATAAGAATATTATGTTTGATACTACCTAGTAATTAAATGTAGATTTCAGTATGTAAAATCAAAGCCACTCAAGGTCCGAAAGGACAAAAGAGGTATCGATAAATAATAATACAATGATGTTAATATTATAATTATTTTAATATTACTGATATGTTACTAATAGTACTATCATTAATTATTATTCATTCCATAATGTGTTATTTTAACGTATTATATTAACATTATTATTATCATTAATATTATAATTATTCTAATATTAACGATATATCATTAATAATACATACCATCATTATTATTAATTAAATAATATGATGTTATAATTACTGTGAATATTTCAGCATACAACATTATTTATTGTAGCAATACATGTATTTTCTTCGTTTATTGCAGAGCTATGCGAAACAGAGGCGTCGAAATCGCCATCTTGTCGTCCCAGAGTAAGCTCCAGTCGAATTCCCTAGACGTCCGATCATTACTGAACCGATCTGGTATACATCGAGTAAACCAGCAGGATTTACTACTGAAAATTTACGACACTTTATACGACGATCAGTTCCGAGTGAACGAGGTACTGCAGGTCGCGTCGTTCACCAGCCAACAAGTGGCCAAAGGATTCGCATTCGAGGAATCGTTAAGGAATTCCTTTTACGAAATTTGCGGTACCCTGGACGGTAGATCGAAGAGGGAAGCACTGAGGAAGATTGATGAAATTTTATCGGAAGATAATGGGAATATTGAAAGACGTTGCTACGACTTGGACGCCATTACTCTTAGCGCCTGCGATCTCAGGAAGAACTCGAGGCTGGCGGTGGTTAGACAGGAAGGATTTCTCTTGGAATCGGCCGTAGAGATGCTGAGGTATGGAAAATTAATGAAAACACTCATAGTTGTCAACTATTTATATAACGTTTAATATTGAACTATAAATGTGGAATAATTAATTGATAGAATAGATTGATTACTTTACTAAATTTGGTTAAATACTATAATTTAAGTTAATATTATATTTAACTGAAATGGATGCTATAATATTGAACTATAATAATTAATGTTTAACTACAGAAAATTGATGAACACACTCGTAGGTGTTGATTATTTACATAACATTTAATATTTAACTGCAATAGAAGATTAATTAATTGACAGAATAGATAAATCATTTATTAATTTACTAAATTAATTAAATACTAGTAATATTGAATTAGTTAATATTATGTTTCACTAAAATAGAAATTACAGTATTGAACTGTAACAATTAATTCTTAACTAAGATATTTGATTAAATATATAAATTTTTTAATCACATATTATTATAGTTGAACAATTTTATATTTAGCCCCAACAATTAATATTTAAGTATAATTTTTTACTACATAACTAATATATATTTGCAGAAACAATTTTGGGAATTCAGAGTGACTTTCCTCATGATTGATATCCACCATTTTTATTCTGAAAAATTATATTAAAAATAAATATTAGATGCTTCTTACATATTTTAATTCGTATCTAAAGAAAAATAGTTGTCAACTGTATACATATTACTCTTCAAATAGAAAATTGTATGTAAGGCTGTGACCAATAAAATTAGTTTGATGTTTAAAAAACAAAAAGATCAAAAAATGTATCTGCATCTACAAAAATGTATACATAACTGTTGCTCTAAATATCTTAAAAAATTTCATTTATCCTAAAATTAAAATTTATCTTTAAATTCACTAAGAAATTTCCCATTCGTTTAAGAGTAATATTTGCCACAATTTTCATTTACAGAAACGACCCAGAGAGGATTGATTTCCAAGATCTCTTCGCCCAACAAGCGCCCATAAATGATACAACAAAGTTTCTGAGGCTCCTTTTGCTCGAATTCTACGAAAGAACCTCCATGAACGACATAGAGATTCGACGAGTTTGGAGCTCGTTTATTCTTTCACGGAACCGGTTCGACGATCTCGTGAAACTCGGCGAAATTCTGCACAACGAAACGAAGAACTTAAAGTTCTTGTTCGTGAAAAATTCAGCCTCGGAATCCCCTCTAAATTTCGTCGAATCGTCCACGCTCGTGAATAATCTAGCGATCTCTTTGTACTTCCAATCGATGATCTTCGATTGCCGATCGAAAGAGGAAACGCCAAAAAACGATGACGTCATGCTTCTCAGAGAATATTCGGCGGCTGTCTCTTCAGGTAACCCTCAAATAATTATTAATTAATTTAAGTTTATTCATCCATGACAAACATTCGTTATATGTTTCATTTCTTTTTTTTATAAAGTTAATAAATTTCGTTGCATTTTTAATATTTTTTCATTGAAGAAATAACTTTATGTATGCAAGAATAAATTAGTTAACACTCGAGATCCTATGGCCGAGTCATCGATGACCCATTGAGTCATCGAACTGTTTATACAAAAATTAAACGAACATTTTGAAATTTTTCTACGGGTCACAATTGACCCCGTCATCGATTTTGATGGTTTGTATTTCAATGGTTAAAACAAAGAATCCTTCATGATTATAGACTCCTTTCGATTATTGTCCCGCTGGGACTTCCTTATTATAAATATTTACAGTAATTTCTCGATGAGTGTTCGAAGGCTTCTCGGCACTGAACATTAAATATTTAATAAATTAATGGCCATATGCGGCTGAAATAAATATCACTGACTTGGGAATTCTATGCTCTATCATTGTGCTAAACCTCGTTAAAAAGTCAGCGTTATACCTGGGGACTTTTCCTTGTCAATGCCCAGGAACCTTAGAGCACTCATCGAGTATTTACTGTACCTACAGTAATCCTCGATGAATACGACACAAGCAACGGCGTAAGAAACAAATTTATGAGGGGCTGAAAACCTTTCCGACCTGTCATGAGTGCTCCAAAACGGATCCGAGTATGTCGCACTCATCGAGACCTTACTGTAATATAGGAATAAAAGGGTTAATTTTGATCTTCTACCGAATATTCGACAATGGGACCCTTCGATCTTTTCAGGAAAACTCTCCAACAACCTGAAGAACGAACCATTGATCGTGAATTTCGCAGAATTGGTCGATCAATCCGAGAAGATCATCGAGACGATATTCCACAATGAAAATCTCTCCTTGAACGACGTCGATTACATCGAATTACGGGACAGTTTGAAATGGTTCAAACGATACAACGATCTAGGAAACATCGAGCTGATCGATCGATCGCGTGGAACGTTCTTCGATCTACCAGAAATCTCCTCGACCTTGAAGGTTCACTACAGATGGCTGGTGAAACTGTTCAAGAAATTGTTCACGGTTCTGGATCGGAAATCGTGCGATACGAGGACGCAGTGCAGATTGACGAGTTTCTCGGAGAAATACATAAAAGTGTTGATCGGTATGGATAAATTCCGAAAGTTTCGTAAAAGGGTGAAAAAATTACTGTTAACGCCGTCGCCACATTTCACGGAGAATTCGATATCTTTTCACGAAAAGCTTCGATCGATTTTACGAAAATTCGAAGTCACTGACGAGGATTTGATCGATGTTTCGAAGACACGTTTGAAAGTAGCTTCAATGGGCATTTTGGAAAATTTAGATATAAGAGAAAAGTTAATTAACGTTTGCACGGAAAATTTCGTGGATAATCGGGAAGTGGAAAATTCGGTAGAATTGGACGATCTAGCCACGAAGATTGTGATTGTTAAAGAAATCAATGAAAAGCAGATCAGAGACAATGAGAAGTTTTCTGAGATCGAAATATGGCCGATTTATGAATTTTTCTTTTTGCTTTTCGCGTATCGTTTCCAACGGAAATTCTGCGAACAATTTTCCATTCGTTACGAGAAGAAAGTTTGTGAACATTCTTCCAGCGATCAATCGAGCGAGGATTTATGTGTAATTATCGATGGGAAATTCGAGAAGATCTACGAGGAAAGTGTCTTTCGGAAATTCGAAGAAATTCCAACGATACCGACGCGTTTAATCGCTTTAATAAGGAGTTTGAATTCGAACGAGGTCTCCGATGAACGAAGAGTTTCTCTGTTTTTCGAACTGTTGTTTTCGACCGAAGAATTTTTGGATCGATCGTTCGCGGTGAAAAATTCGAATTGTCTTCTGCACTGGTTCGACTGGAAGGATGATGAGATGGATGATGGTGGCAGGAATTCTGAGGTATGTTTATTAAATATTAATAAAACAGTGCTAGAATATTTTGTTATGACAAATAATTACAAAAATACAATTTAATAATATGATACTTGACATAGTTCCTTGAATAGTGAAAGTCTTATAGAATCTTCTTGACATTACTAAAGTACTATTGAATGTCCAAAAAAATTGTAATACTCGACAACACGTGAGTAACCAATTTTTTAATATTTAGTATTTAATTGAAACTTTTGTAATATTCAATTTAATTTGTTAATGTCTAATATTTAATGTAATTTTTTTATATTTAATACTTCTTTGAAATTTGTTTTCTGTTGTCTTCTAAGGACTTTCACATTTAATAATAAAACGAATTAAATCATTAAATTGTTTGAATAATGATCAGTGAGCGGTGGATACATATTTTACCAATCATACGATTCGTTGAATTATAAATAATATTGAAATCTTATTATTCTTGATGAAATCGCATCCCACATAGCATCTGACGCCTTAAAGACGCCCATTTTACGGCTATTTTAGGTCTAAGGCGCCTTTAAGCCGACTTCAAGGCGTCATTAGGCATCATGTGTTATCTGGTCATTCGACCAAAAGTTTTTAAACTATTAACATTTCAATAACTTTTACAGATGCGATTCATCAGCAAGACAGTCCTCTGCAGACTGGTCCACGAACTGTTACTAACAAAATCCGGAACCCAAGCGGCAATCAACCTCCGAAACCACAAGAACAAGAAGAAACTATTGAAAACGATCCAAACCACACTCTGGAGAAATTCTTTAATATTGAACACAAACGACTTCAGTATATCCAGAAACGATTCTATGCTCCTTCAATTCTGCGCCAACTATTACGTGGCCGCCATTACGAGGGTGATCAACAACTTCGCCCCGAAATTAAGCAACAAAGACCAAACGGATCTAGAAAATCATTTCTTTACACCGATGAACCTCTTGCAAGAAATCATGAAGAAATTGCAAACGGTTGACAACCACGTGACAAGGGGAAAAGGCTGGCTGATTCTGGGCTACCTCCAAATTTTCCTCTTCAGGGACCTAGGATCCATAGATCCTGCCAGGAAGACTGCACTCAAGTCAAAATACATTCGTGAGAATATCTCTGAGCTGGAACATTTGATGCTCATCGAGGAATTACAAAATATCATTCTAGCTACTTCTCTACCTGACGATCGAAAACGATCGAGGATCGATCACCTGAAGATTGCATCGTCGGAAGTGAAGGATATTCAAAATGTCCAGACGGTCAGACCGTCGTCCAGTTTCCAGAATCTCAAAGAAGAAATCGAAAACTTCTCGACGAACATCGGTTCGTTCAGTTCCATATTCCGACAGGTGAACCATTTGGGCGACGTGATCGAGAACGCACCGAATGGTGAATTGATCGGTAACGATCGTGAGAAGCTACAGGAGGCGGTGATCTGGAAGAAATCGTTGCAAAGATTCTCTGGGAAATTAGAGAGGAACTTTTTGAACGGATTCCCCGATCTGGTCGCGCCGATGATCTCCGCGATTTCTAACCTAACTCACGGGGTCTCGATACTGTTCCAGCAGATCTCGAGTTTGGAACGGCAAAGCCTGAACACGGACATTTCTTACAATCTGTTGCGTTTCCCAGTGACTGGTCCCTGTCAGGAGAATTATTTAAATTTAATAAAATTATGCGCCTCCGAAAAATTGATTCGAATCCTCCCGAATCGATCAAAATCCATTCAAAAAGATCGATTCGCAATGGCGAAGGTCGCTCTTAGAGAACTGGAGAATTTCTCCTGTTTCGTTCAAAAGGATCTACGATCATTCTGGCGCGAATTGAACAAGATTTTCCTGATAGTTCGAATATTGTGGAGGGAACAAGAGAAACAACGGGAGGAAGAGATGAAGGAGAAGCAGAGCTTGTTCAGGACAAAGTCTGAAAAGGAGGAGGACGAGACGGATTTTCGAAAAATGTTTCCCAGCTTCCAGCAAGACTTTCTCGAGCTGGCAGGAATGTTTCCCGGGCTTGAGCAAGAGTTTCCAGAGCTTCAGAAACTCTCGAATGATGGTCTGGATGAGAAAGGGGAATTCCACGAGTTGATCTCTTTGAGGGACGCGCGGGAAATTCAAACGGTTCATTGGAACATTCTGAAAAATTCGACCGGCAGACGGATGAATGTCACCGAAAATTCGAGAAGTATATCAAGGAGGTCGAAAAACAACTTAAAACAGGTGGAGACAGATCGAGAATCAAATTTTATCGATCCTTTGGTTCAGAGGTTCGAGATGCTCGGGTGTTCCGTGGAAACGTGGCCGGAGGATCTGTCGTCGAAATTAATATGCAGCTTGAATGTGTTATTTTCACGAAATGTGAACTTCGGAGCGAGTCAGGGGGACGTTTATGATTTTTATAGAGATCCAAATATCGTGGAGGTTGAAGAGTGTCAGCCACTGTTTGAAAGCCTGAACGAAAGGATCGACAGTTTTCTGATTGAGTGGCCAGAGAATCCTATTTTAATTTCGATTAAATTGATCATCGATCGGATCCTCGGTTTCCCGATCAATTCGTCGTTGTTGAGATTTTTGGTGGGCGTTGAATTGTTGCTGACGAAAATCCAAGAATGGGAGGCGAATGCTCTGTACGACGTTAGCTTGGCGACGTTCATTGAGATTTTCGGTAAAAAGATCCTTCATTGGCGGAAACTTGAACTGTCGAACTGGAAACACTCGTTGGAGATCCTTGAGGAGATGCTGAAAGCGGAAGCTTCAATATGGTGGTTCATATTGTTCGATTTGGTAGACCAGTACCTGGCTAAAGACACCATAAACTTGGAGGAAAATGAAGAAGTGGGCCCAACACTGGACGATACGCATAGGGATAATGATATGTCAAAGGAAAAGGTCACTGAGATCTTGGAACGATTTTTAGCAGAATCCTCTTTGATCCAGTTCGAGCCCAGACTCCAATTAGTCTATCTTTTCTACCAACATATTGATCAGTTTGATGAATCTGAAAAGCAACGTGAATTGTCGGCTATTCTATGGAACATTTATCATTATTACAGTCAATTTGTGGCTGACGTTGACAATAAAATAAAAGCCCTAAAACAACCCATCGCCAAGAAGCTAAAGGATACTATCAAGATAACCAGGTGGAACGATATTAGCTACTGGTCAGTGAAGAACACAGCTGAAAAGACACGCAGGACTTTGCACAAGTTTATAAAAGAGTTTCAGAAGGGTCTGCGGGAGAATGTTGCTGCTTACCTGACCCTGAAGATAAAGCCAGAAATCTTGGAGGTGAATAATAGAAGAGATCTAGATCCTAGTGATTTCTTGGTGCGGCTTGAAGCTGGCAAATTGAGCAAAGTTGAGAAAATGACACGTAAAGCTTGTCAGTTCTGTGAAAACATTGTGGATAAATGCAATTATTCCCAGATGAGGAAGGACATTGAAGTTTTCATAGAAGACACTCTTGAGGAAAGTAAAAAACTGAAGAATTTGGACGTGGATAAGACCCTGACGAAGAACAAACAGCAATCACAGTTGAAGAGCATGCTTCAACAGAAGAAATTAGCTCTGGCGAATTACTTTAAAAGCTTAAGTCAGCTTGGACTTTCCTATAGAATTGGTATGCTAACATGGAAGAACAGGAAGAATGAGATCATGAACTATGGGTCAACGCCACTGGACTTGCTGGAATTGCAGAGGTTCGCTTTCACCAGAAGTTTGAATGAAAATGTGGATAAAGGGTTGTTCGAACAGTGGTCCGGTTGTGATAAGTATTACTATGAATCGTTGGTTAAGCTGAACTTTCTGCATGGCATCTTGAACTCAGGAAAAAGTGACATTGGAATGCATAATGCTGAACGTTGCAGAGGATTCTCTGTTCATCTTATTCTACTGGCTCACAAACAAAAGAAAAGCATTGGTAATTTGTTTAAGAATCTTCTTCCACTCAGAATTCAACTGTTAAATTTCGCTTTGATGGTGGATGATTCAGTTAACGCGATTAATGATTCAGAACCGTCAAACGATACCGCCATTTTGGATGTATCCAGGCAAAGAGATTTACAAAGACTTATGGAGAACTTCCAGGAGTTGTTGGAAGTACTGGAACTTTCACTGAAGCAAGTTATTCTGTTCTTGGAGAGCTGCCCAACAGACTCTGTTGAAGAAGAAAAACTGCTCGACTTGAATGAAACTGTGAGACCTGTTTTGAAGGAGAGCAATGTTGTTGTCGATTCAGTGATATCGATGAAGGATTCCTTAAAATCCATAAAGAATATGACGGATGAATTGAATAAGTGGATTTCAGTGTCCAAAAGAGTCGAGAAGTCTGGCCAGATTTTCTTCTTCCATAGAAGACATGTTAGTTTCCTTGAGACAAGTTACCAGAAGATCAATGAAGTCAAAGAAAAATTGACTAGTCTCAGCTCTACCTTCACCGGAGATCATCCCATTTCTGAAAATTTTAATTTCATGGTGGAAAAGATTGACAAAACAACAGAACATTTTAAATCGACTTTGAACACGTCAGCAGTAGAGGAATCTGAGAAGAATAAAGATTTGGAGGAATATCAGAAAAGTTTGGACACACTAATTACGCAAGTTCTTCTTGTAATTCAGAAAAAGTTTCAGGACAGCCAAAAGTCGAGCGAAGGATCAAAGGATCCTGAAAAAGAATCTGAAGAGACTTTCGAAGACAACTTTATGACAGACAGATTGATAGAATCAGTGAAAAAGGCCATTTCAGAATTAAGATTGAACACGATATCAAAGAAGCTTGGAGAACTGTTACAAATTATTTACCAGCTAGACGCAAAGTCTGCCAATGATTGTATTAGGTAAATTTCTCATCATTAACTTCTTCCTTCTTATATTTTATTATTTATACAAAGAACATTAATTTTACCTTATACTTCTTTTAGGTCACTTCTAGAGCATCTACCTCTTCTCAAGCAGTATATTCTCTTCTGTCATTATTTCCTACATGAACAAGTAGCTTCATTCCGTCTAACCTGCAAGCTGCTTTACCTCCAATTAAATGTCTTCCTTGAGTTAGCTACAAATGGTTTTTGTCAATCGCAAGACGCTAATTCTCCTGAAGACAACCAAGATGGTGATCCGTCTCAAGGAGGAATGGGACTAGCTGATGGTGAGGGGCAAAAGGATGTCTCCGACAGAATCGAATCTGAGGATCAACTAGAGGAAACAGTGGGTCCAAACGAAGAGAAGCAGGATAGCGAAAAGAAAGATACAAATGAAGAGGATAAGGGTATTGAGATGTCAGAGAATTTCGACAGCCATCTGCAGGACTTAGAACGAGACGAAGAAGACAAAGACAATGAAGAGGATGAGGATCTTGACAAAGAAATGGGCGAGACTGATGAAACTGCAGAGAAGCTTGACGAAGAAATCTGGAAGGATGACGAAGAAGATGAAGAGAATGAAGAAGGCCAAGACCAAGAGAACAAGAAGGAGGAAAAGGGAAGCGGGCAGGAAACAGGTGAAGAAGAATTGAGTACAAAGGATGGTAATGAAAATAAAAATGAAGACGAGGACAAACAAACAGAACAGGATGGTCGAAGGAAAGAAGAAGAAAAGAAAGATATCAATGAGCTTGATGAACCTGAAATGAATGATGATCAAATAGACCCTTATCATGGGAAACATCAACCAGAAGTCGAGCCAGAAGCATTTGATCTTCCAGAGGATATGAATTTAGACGATGAAATGAAAGAGGACAAGGAAAATGGAGGCGTAGAAGAAAATCCTTTTGATATTGATCAAATGAAAGAGTCTAAGATCCCAGAGGAAGTAGAAACTGAAGAATCCAAAGAGGAAGAAGACAAAGGAGAAGGGGAACAAGAGCATATGAATGATGATGATGACGATACCGATGAAGACCAAGATCCACAAGCAGATAAGGAGAAGAAGAAGGATGGGCAAGAAGCAAATACCGAGGAAGATAAACAGAATGATTCAGAAGAACAGAATATAGAAGAAGAAAAGGCACTAGAGGAAGAAAAAGCAGCAGAAGAAGATACGGTGTCGCCTAGCCTTGACGCAAGTAGCAAAGAGGTAGACGCTGCACAGGAAGTGGAATCAAGAAAAGACGGTTCTAGAGATGCTGTGGAAAGCCAATCAAATGAAGAGAATTCGGAAACTAGTCCCACAGAAATGAATGCAGACGATAAGAAGGATAAAGGTAGTTTTAATGCACACTTCATAATTTACACTCTGGGTCTAAGAAAGAAGAGAATGCCCCCACTTCCGGCGAAGAAAAATCTTCCAAGCCCATCGAGAAACGACGAAAGCCAGGCCAAAGCGATGAAAATCGTAGTTTGCTGGATGACGAAATTCAACCGTCCGCAAAGAAATTAAAAACAGGATTAATGCGGCAGGAACCGGATGACGTTGAAGAAGAAGAAAATGATGCTGAAAATGGGGGTGCAAGCGAAGTTTACGAACACATTAAGCAGTCTGAAAAGTTTGATGATGTTGTCTTCGATGCTGCCACTCAAGAACAGTTAAAAAAGCAGGCGTCAAATTTGGAAGGTAAATCGTTTTGTCCTTTAGGGAAAAAGGTTAGGTACTAACCCTCAAAGTAGTTACTAAAAAGAATTCAGATATCTTTAGTGCAAGATCATCATAAGATATACTGGACAATATACATAGAAAAAATTATCGTTTGCATCTGTTGTATATACTTCAGTTAGCTGTAAAAAAAAAATAAGCTTATTTTACTCTGTTCTGATTTTAGAAGAGGAAAAAATGGATGATAAGACAGAAGATGATGACATAAAGATGCATGAAGATCCAGTATCGGAAGACCCAGAGGACAAAGTGGAGAAGGAGCATTCTTCAAAGACATCTGAAACTAAGAAGGAAACATCAACGCGTGCCAAGGGTGACAGGTCAGATGACATTGAGGAAATTGAACTGGGAGGTGAAGTTGAAGGTGACGCAGTGGAGACAAGTCGTGTTTCACGTGGAAACGAATCCACTTTCCATACAAAATTATCAGAGGCAGACCTCTACGATGCTGCAACAGAGGATATTGCAAAGAAAAGGTCCGAGATAGAAAACATGCTTGGCCAATGGTCCCAGCAGTCAACGTCTGTCGAAGCAGCAAATGCTTGGAGCTCTATAAGTGCGCTGACAGAGTCAGCTGCCAGGGAGCTTAGTGAGAAATTACGACTGGTATTGGAACCGACGTTGACCTCTCGGTTGAAAGGCGACTATAGGACCGGCAGGCGTATAAACATGAGAAAAGTGATACCCTATATTGCCAGTGAATTCCGAAAAGACAAAATATGGCTGAGACGTACCAAACCATCGAAAAGGGACTACCAGATTGTTTTAGCGATAGACGATTCCAGCAGTATGGCTGACAGTCACTCGAAGGAATTAGCGTTTGAATCTCTCTCGTTGATTGGCAAGGCTATGACCTATTTAGAGGTTGGCCAGCTTGCTGTCATTAACTTTGGAGAACATGTGAACATCCTTCATCCTTTTGGGGAGAATTTCACAGAAGAAAGTGGTGCAAGGTATGTATCTTAGAAACATAGTTGTGGGAAAGTGTTTTTTTTTTTGGATTTAAAGGAAATGTCTTTTAGCTTCGACAAGTTGTAAAGCGAATAATAGTTGAGACATATTGAACTTTGTAGGTTGATCCAAGAAATGAAGTTTGAACAGAAGAAAACAATGGTGGGCCAGGTACTGGACTACACGATAGACATGTTCGCAAGTCAAGGTGGTTCCAGTGAAAATGCAAAATTGGTAACTATTTTGTCCGATGGCAGAGGAATATTCTCCGAAGGAGTTGAGAAAGTGATTGCAGCCGTCAGAAGAGCGAAATTATTGAATATTTTCATGGTTTTCATAATTGTTGACAATCCTCTTAATAAGGTAGAAAATATATAACATGATTTTATATAAAGCCTTTTTAGAATCTGATTGTATTAGAATAACTGACAACCGATTAAATTATCTTTCAGGATTCAATACTCGACATAAGGATGCCAGTTTTTGAAAATGGAAAATTGCTGGACATTCGTCCTTACATGGACAACTTCCCATTCCCATTTTATATTATTTTAAGAGATTTGAATACTTTGCCAGTGGTCCTCAGTGATGCGTTACGACAGTGGTTCGAAATTGTTGGAAGAATTGACACGTGAAACCAGTTCTATATGTGTGTATAATGTGTACATTTGTTATTCTACTGCGATTTGCATGAACTTTTCATGCAACGCGCTTGAATGATACAAGTCCAATTTCACCGTTGTAACTAATGAAATCTGTAATGAATAATACAATTGTTTAGTGTTTTGTAGTATTTAAAATGGTTATTTGTCACATTTCAAAATTCTATGTTGCACAAACACATAGATTCTTAAAATAAAATAGGACGAATAAAACACTCTTGAACCACGAAGCTGCAAAAATACATTTTTCCCCCAAGATTAAAAGACATAGGTAGTAATTAATTTCTGTAGAAACCTGTTGGAACAACTAAATTTAGTACAAGATTGTACAATGTTTATGTAGTTAGAATATTTAATCTAACTCGGCGAACAACTACGAATTATTTGCATAAAATCCTGCTAAGACACATACAAATTAAATAATATTTAGTTAACAATCACCATAAACATTAACGCACAGTGATTGTTTAATAATTTACAATCAAATAAAAGTTATCCCACGTGGAAGTTCATGAAACGATTCATATCGTATAAGTTTCTGTATATCTCGTTCAATATGATTTACGAAGAAATTCTAAAAGAATGATTTCCTAGGTAACATCACCGACGAGGTATAGGATAGACCTATTATCTTATGGGACTTCGTGTCTCATGTTCTGAAATACCGATAGTGTAAAAAGTCAGGGATTTTCTACGGTATGAGAACGGTGAATTTGTGAACTACGTTAAATCCATTCGAGCTCAACTAGTCTAACTTCTACTGTGTTGTCAAGTCTAAAGTACAATGTTGTCAGATCATGAGTGTTCGGTACGTCGGAAAATCATCGAAGGGACTATGGTCGTGAACGGATTCTCTTCCGTCCGTTCACTGTAAAGTAGACGTATTAGAAAGGAGTCTTGGGTGCCAATCCCGACGGACCTATATTAGTTTTTCTTTGCGTACAAAAAGTTATTGCGTTTAATATTGTTTTTATGAATATGTATATGTATTATTATGTACATTGAGTAAATTATTTTATTATTCCATTGTTACTACATCAGTTTAACAGTGACAACGAACGCATGCATATTTTCAAATATCGGACTAATAGTATATTTTTATTCTATATTATTACATATAAGTGAGTAATA